CAAAAAAGAGTTTTTATTATTCTACTTGCTAGAGTGTCACAACTCTGTGCCTACGTACCCTCAAGCATAATGAGGGATCATAGTACCGTAGTTTGTCTAGAAAAATATTGTGTGTTTGTTAATTTTTTTAATTTTGAAAATATCTCAACGCAACGGGGGCGGAAAAACGTTTGTTTGAAAAAAGTCTCGATGCACAAGGGTGGAGAAAATGATATTTTGGTGAGTTCGAATTGATTTTAAATTGATTTGTTGATTCATAAGGCGTAACACCAGTCAATCAGTTTAATTGATAAAAATATGTTTTTAATTTGATTCATAAAATATAAAATATGATATATATATATATATATACATAATTACTTTTATAGGTTTTGAATATTTTTATTATTTTAGGTTTATTTCCTTTGTCTTGTGTCTAAATATCCTAAAATAAAATCATAACTTAATAAAATGATATATTTTTATATTTTTCAATAATAAACTTAAACTAAATAAATTATAATGTCATTAGATTTTAAAAAGAAGCATTTTATTTATTTTTTATAAATTATTTAATTATTAACCTAATTATCATAATTAAACTAATTAAACCTAGTCCTAAATTAAATGAAATAAAAATAGAAATACAAAATTAAATAAAAACATGAAATAAAATAAAACAAGACCAGGGGTGTATTTTTAGTTGAAATTCTTTGGACCAAGTAAACAAAGGGTTGTGGAAAAGAAAGAAAAAAAAGAGGCCCATTAAGGACTGGATGCTGAGAAGCAGGGTGTGGAAGAGTAAAAAATGTTGACTCTGGACATCCCACGTTGGATTGATCTAAGGTGTTCAGGGTAGATCTCATAGGGAGTGTAGGATGGACATACTAGTCAAAATAGTTGGAACTAACAGACCATATAAGAGTCAACAAAGAGTACACACTAAATGTGTAGCATTGGATATGTCAAAGTCATCCAATCACGTGGCCATCAGAGGTCACGTGATGGTGACATGACACTGCGTTTGAAGGGAGTATTTAAAGCATTTTTATTCAAAAATGCTCCCATTTCTTTCCTCCCCTCTCTTTCTTCTCTTGCTCTCTCTCACATATCTCTCTTGTCATTACTTTGACCACCCAAAACACACCTTGACTGTCGTGGCCTCCGCCACCTTCATCATGTTCGTCACGAGCACCATGCCCTACTTCCCAGAAACCACCTTTCCGGAAACCACCATGGACCACTGTCCACCACTTTCATCGTGTTCATCATGAACACGATGGAGATTCATCTTCTACCATTTGCCCTAACCCTAACTCGCCCAGAACCAACATAAACCTACCCAGAATCAAACAATAACCATACCAATCCATAAATCCGTCCACCCTGAGCATTGCTCCACCGTTGAAACCACCAAAACCAAGCATCAAGATCCGAACCCTAACCATAATGGCTATGAACCCTAACCCTAATTTGGATATGAAACTCTAAAAATTCCCCCAGCAAGCAAGAACAACTGCTCCATTCAACTATCCTTGAAACCAAACTCCCTTTTACAAATATCAAACTTCAATTTATAAATTTAAACATAAATTTAACTTATGTAGAAAAACCTCAAGAATCAAGAGCATAAACAAGCAACGCATATTCTAGTTAAAAAATGAAGGTACCAACCTATAGGAAGGAGGGCTTTTTCGATTACAAGGTAAAATCTTTTGCTTTTGTTATGAATTCCCCTTTCTTCCTTTGATTCTTTTATGCTTCTCCTTCTAACTCTTGTTCTTATTCTGTTTTTGGTGCAAGGTCCGGTTGGATGGAGGCTAATTCTCAAGTCGATTAGGGTTTCAATGTGAAACCCTAATTACTTTAATTAGAGCTTTGTGGTGTTCTGGTTGTGAGTATACAACAATTTAGGGTTTTAATCTCTTTTTTCACGTCCCCTTCTTTTGGTTATTCTTAAGTTATTTATAAGTTAGAAATTAGGTTTAGAATTAAATTAATTGATTAGATTAGGAATTGTTTTATTTTTTAGATTTGACTTGATTTAGTTTTTAGGGTTTCTAAAGTATTGCAAATGTAAGAACTATGTACTTGGTTCAATTTTGTATGTAATTCTATTTTTCAAATGTATCTGAACACACTTTTTTTTGGAAATGTTTGATTCTTATTAGGGGTGACAAACGGGCATGCTCGCCCTGTTTAGGTCCGTCCAGCAAAAGCCCGCAAAAAACGGGGCAGTCAATGTTGAGGGTGTGGGCCTAAAATCTATGCCCACTCCACAAAAGTGTAAGGGCGGGGCGGGGAAAGCCCGTGGGCATTGCACCTTTAAAGCCTAAAAACGTAAAAATTTATGTAAATGCGCGTGTCCGCAAAAGTCCGCAAGGAAAACAGGGCGGAATGAACACATTAGAGGGTGAGGGCCTAAACCCTTGGTCCGCCTCGCACTAAAGTGCGGACAAAACGAACATGTCCAATGTGCCTGACCCGTTTTTCCGCCCCAAATTATTATTATTATTATTATTATTATTATTATTATTATTATTATTATTATTATTATTATTATTATTATTATTATTATTATTTCGATCTTTATTTTTATCAATTTCAATATGTAGCGTGTTTAGGGTTTTTGATGAATGGACTTGGACTTAGCTTGAACTGGTTACAAAGTTTGACTTAGAAAAATAACTGAAAAATATACTTGAATAATGATTTTTAATAATTAGGAACTAGTAACAATAATTTGGCTAATCAATAATAAAAGATACAAGTGAATATCAACTTACAAGACTATGTCAAAAGTTTGCTCATTGATAAATGAATATCAAGGATCTAAGATTTGAAAAAGGTTTTGTCAAGACCCATAAATAAGAAACCAAAGACAACATCAATATTGAATCAAAACTAGTTCACAACACATAGATTATATGAAATACATAAGGTATCAAAAGATTACATCCAAAATCAACAAGAAATCGAAGCTCTTATCTTCTCCCCCTTAGGGTTTGTGTTTCTCTCTCTAGAATATACTTGGAATGAAGAGATATAAAATTCTAATATGTGTTATAAAAGTTCTACAAAAGTTATTTTTTTAAAAAGTGAGAAAAAATACATATATAGTAAACTAAAAATTTGTCTTGTTCGCCTAGCGAACACCTTCTTCACCCAACGAAGACCTCTTTTGGGCACTTTAAGTGCCTCAAGAACAGTTAAACCTCTCTTGGAAAATATCTGAGTTCGTCGTGCGAGCACTTCTTTGCACAACAAACTACTTCCCTACAGCTTCGCCCAGCAAACATTGGATCCTTTTCCTACTGCCTCTTATCTGGGTTGGTTCTCTGGGTCTTCGCCAAGACCTCGCACAACGAGCATTCTCCTTCACATCATTGTTGTTCACACAGCGAACATGTTGATCCTTCTTCATTTCTTTGACTTTCTTGCCCAATTATTTGTGTCTTAATCATTAATTATGCCTAAATCATGCACAATAACACACACATCAAAGAATCCAAAGGTATTTGCAATATGTTGAAGAATCATACAAGAACAAGAATTAATTTCATTAAAACATGAGAAATGAGTTAAAAAATACAAAGAAAGATGTAAGTCAAAATTTGCACTTAACACACCTCTCTTTGGCATTCAAAATGGTTAGGTGCATCTCCTTTGAAGAGTTTATTTCTAGACTTGTATGAGGCGTCGATTTGCAAGTTTGTTGTGGTTAATAATTGCGGCAAGTGGGTGGGAGAAAATGTTGTTGGGAATTAGATGAACAATATACCAAACAAGAAGGAGTTTTGGATGAGGGCTGGAGCGAATTAAAGTTGTTATTGGAAGAACAAAAGCCTATCCATGGTGTGAAGGGTTCTGTTTGCTGGCCTTGAGGTTTATTCAAGTCGTTTAGCGTGATCAACTATCACGGGCTGCATAATTTTTAGTGCTGGATTCAAAATCAAAGATGACTTTGGACGTGTTATGGAAATATAGGATTCCATTAAAGGTTAAAATCTTTGGATGGAGATTATTGCTAAATTGTTTACCAATGCGGTCAATCCTAGTAAATAGAGGGGTGATTTCAAATCCGCACGAAAAGGTATGCATGTTTTGTTTTCATGCTGAAGAAGATATTGATCATGTAATTTTAACATGTCCTAAATCTAGATTAGTTTGACAAGAGATTGAGTCTTGGTTGGACATTGTTTCTCTACCCATTTTCAATATTGTTGAACATTTGCTAGCATCGACTAATGGTAAACTTTCTACTCGGCTTTTCCTCTTTTGCTTTGGTAAACTTTCAATATTGTTGGTGTCTTTGGTGGACTAGGAATCAGGTGATTTTTGATGATTTTGTGGTAGTTCCAAGAAATTTTTTTCAAAGAGTCGTATTTTTCTCATGGAGGAGGTTAGATTTATCTCTTAAGAATACGGTTAAGTGTCATTATTATGAATGATGAAAAAGACTTAATTTCTTGTAAGGGTTGGTAGTTTAAGCTATTATTTAGTCTTTTGTGGTATCAACTATGATGCTGAATGTTGTTTGTAACTTTGTTGGATTAGGGACCCTCAATCTCTTTTTGAATATAACGTTGGTGATAAAAAAAAATTCTATAATTTTTAGATTAATATATCTTTTATTTTGCCGGTAAAAGAAAAATTGTGACACTAAACAAATATCAACAAGTTGAGATCTCCATTAGTGCGTAACCACAGTCATTATGCATATGCCAGCATGTTTTTCCATTTCACAATTCCACTCACATACATTATTATACTAATACCTAAGCATTCAAATATTTAAATTACATGTAGATAAAAAATGAATAATAAATATGTGGCACACATATTGTCATATAAAGATTTCATTTCTAGATCATGCCTATGATACAAAATTTTCCCCCACTCACGTGGTTTTCCTTTATAAACGCATCATCTTAGTCCAAAACTAAAACATTGTATTCTTTGTGAAACTTTTGCATACACAAGATATATTTCCCTTTAAACTTGTGATTTGTGTTGAGAAGATGGAATGGAGAAAATATTATTTGGATATGTTGCTTGTACCATTAGGGTTTATGGTAATAATAGGTTATCATGTTTGGTTATGGCATAAGGTTCGAACTCAACCTTCTTCCACCATCATTGGAATCAATACTCATGGAAGACGATCTTGGGTCCCTGCCATGCTCAAGGTATACATATATATACACAGACACAAACACTTTTTTCATATATTATCCTCAATATTACATTAACAAAATAATATATTCTTGATAATTATAATTCTAGAACTTGATATGATATATTTTTCACTATTTGGAGTATTTAATTTGTATAGATTATTAGAGATTATGCATGTTAATCTTCTCTGTATCATTCTAGTTTTTTTTTTTTTTAAATTTTAATTTATTTGAAGCAGTATTCCGATCAATATTTGTAATTGAAATATTTTCTTATCTTAATATTGATTTTAATCCATTATTAAACTCAAGCGATTGTTTTTCTTGTTTAATAATTACTGGAATATTGAGTTACTTATGAATATAATTTACTTATACTCAAATAACTATTTCTCGAGGCTTGTGATTAAAATATTTTGTAAGAAAATATTCGCTTTATTCCTAATCAATTGTTTTTCAATTCTAAAGTAGAAGTATTTCAAAAAAAATACACATTTATTAGTCGACGAATATTTTGCCGTGAGTTATACATTTAACACACACGGTCCATTACTTAAATAATTAGGCCGAATTACATTCACTAACCTCAAGTTTGATATGGTTTTAAGATTCAAAATTTGAGTCTTTTATAAGTACTAAAGGCGTATAATTGTATTTAAATGATTAATCTAACATATTTAAATAGACTGGTGAGTGGTGAGTCACTAAATCAATGAGATTAAATTGCATATTAACTATTTAACCTAATATTTTAATATAGGCTGAATGCAATCTTGGTTCAAACAGTTTAGTTGTCTTATATTCTTATAATTAAAACTGTTGGTGTATTTTTTTCCAGTTAAAAAACATGAAATATATATATATATATATATATATATATATATATATATATATATATATATATATATATATATATATATATATATATATATATATATATATATATATATATATATATATATATATATATATATATATATATATATATATATATATATATATATATATATATATATATATATATATATATATATATATATATATATATATATATATATATATATATATATATATATATATATATATATATATATATATATATATTAAGTAGTCATTGGTCTTTTTTTAAAACATCAAATGAGTCTTCTTATTAAGTATTTGATCAGCTCATAATACATGTTATGTTAAAAATTAATAAATAATTAAATTAATCAATTTAAATTATTGAAAATATAATAAAGTTATAATTTAATTTAAAAATACAAATCTAAAATATTATAGTAATATTTAAATAATTGAATAAATAATAATAATAATAATAATAATAATAATAATAATAATAATAATAATAATAATAATAATAATAATAATAATAATAAATATTACTTATATTTATTTAAGTAGAACGATGTAATAGGTAATAGGCTAAAATGATTTATTTATTTATGATATATGGTCTGATATTTAAGTTTAATATATTTCTAAAAATATTTTAACCCTCTTTGTTTTTTTTTCTTAAAAGAATATCTTTAGTCAGAAGTAGACTAGGAGTACATCTATGTGTCCATCTCTCCTATGACCATGAGAATGCCACCAAATCAAAGTATCAAAAACACTATGAATACATTTTGCACATGCTTAACATGACTTGAGAATCAACAGAATTGAAAATATAAAGTTAAACTAACAATAAACATGGAAGATATTGCTTTAGCTAAATGGATTTTAGGGCCCTTGCTTTTGGTATGATCGATGTTTATAAGTTTGGAATCTTGAAATTACATACATACAACAATGAATATTTGAGAGAATCTTCATGCAATTGGTTGGTGTAGGTTTTGGAATTCTTTTATGAAAATGCATGGTCATTTGCTAAACATGGCCCCATCACTTCACTAATTTTTCTTTTTTATAAAAGTGGTTTAGTAGATCCATTAAAAACAATGGTTACGTCTTCACTTTGTTTTCGTGGTCCTAAGTTTTGATTTATAAATTGCAATCTTAGCTAAAAGAAATCTGTCATTCATGTTTCAGGTCATAATCCATAATGGTTTATCTTTATGCTAACTTAGTGGAGGAGCACTTTTTACAAAAATTAATTTTAATGAAATAATTAGGGCATATATATATGAACGTGTGTTTGAGGGTAGAGCATAAGGATATTTTAATATCATGTTAGCATAAAAAAAGAAAAAGTGGTTTTAAGTTTTTTCGATATGTATTAGACTGCAATTAATATTTCATTAAACACGTCGTTATGAATATTTTATAAGATTATATTTAACCATGGTTAAACTGTGACAAATTTTAAACCCTATCTTTGTTCATTTAGGATATTGAAAAGAAGAACATCCTAGCAGTTCAAACACTTCGAAATCTAATAATGGGATCAACACTTATGGCTACAACCTCCATTCTTCTCTCGGCTGGTTTAGCAGCAGTAATAAGCAGCACATACAGCGTGAAGAAGCCTCTGAACGATGCCATATATGGAGCTCATAGCGAATTTATGGTAGCACTTAAATACGTGACACTTTTAACAATATTCTTGTTCTCATTTTTCTGTCACACTTTGTCCATTAGGTTTTTCAACCAGGTGAGCATCCTCATTTGCACACCACAAAATGTCATGTCGTATTTTGTTGTTACACCTGAATATTTGACTGAGCTTTTGGATAAAGGAATTGTTTTGAGCACGGTTGGTAATAGGCTTTTCTACTCGGCTTTTCCTCTTTTGCTTTGGATCTTTGGACCTGTGTTGGTTTTCTTGTGTTCTGTTGCTATGATTCCTGTGCTTTATAACTTGGACTTTGTTTGTGGGAATGGAAAGGGGAATGGTGTGAAGATTAATGACAAAGGTGGAGAAGATTATGTTTGATGTAATTTAGAGCTAACTAGTATATTTACTCTATAAGTCTTAAAAAAGTTGTAATATCTCTGAACTTGTTGATAATTTGTAATTAAGCATCTGAATTTGAACTTTTATATAATCTGTAATCAATCGGTTACAAAGTTATGAACGGTTTCCTTTGAATTTTTCTTAATATAAATAGGATATCATCTGCGTACAATAGTAATTATAATTATGTGATTAAGTAATTAGATTTGCATCACCTACTACTGTTAAGTTGTAAAGGTGTTTGTGTTTTACTCACACAAGCAACAGATATTTTAGCTATTCATGAACTAGCTTTTCTGACGTCGGTTTGTTTGATTGTGGTTACCTTATCATTAACTTTTTATATCTTTCCTAATTGATGGAAACTATTGTTTAATTATGGAGGAAACAAGCCTTTAGTTTCAATTGTTTGAACAAAGTAGGCATAATATTAAAGATAATTCTTAGATACAAGCCATCTAGTGGGTGGCTTTGATCATTTCTATATAACTGTAAAAAGGTACTAGCTTATATAGTCTCTTAGGCCAACATCGATAAAGGTAGGAATTAAATATTAAAAGTTCAATAAAAAAATCTATTTTATGTAACATTCTAAATGCCAGAATAATGTATTTAAGATTTGTAATAAATAAGATGTTTTAATGTCAAGGTCTAATCGGTAGGAAATCACATCACCCAAGTCCCAAGAAATAAGACAGGAGATCGACACGTCTTAGAGAGATACAAGATCATGATTCATGACTCACCAACTCGTGTAGACTGTGAAATGGCAAGAACTTACATAATCCTCTAACATATGTCTTTTAAAATATTAATCTCTAAAAGAAATTCTTGAGGCAACTAAATTTTAGAAATCGGATATATAGGCGAGAGAATAATCCATACTCAGCTGCACACCACTTTAAAACTATAAAATCTATACTTTCAACCGTCACTGACATGATTGTTGGAATGGTTGTAAGTACACTATTCACTATTGACCCTATTATAAAGGATTGTCATACTAATATGATTGTTGGAACGGTTGTAAGTATAATATTCACTATCGAGCCTATTACAAAGGATTGTCATACTGACATGATTGTTGGAACGGTTGTAAGTACACTACTCACTATCGAGCCTATTACAAAGGATTGTCATACTAGAGTTCGTCAACAATATCATCGCCTTAAAGAAAACTTGAAGGAAAAGGTCTCTACAAATAATTTGGTGCCGTATTTGGAAAATATCCTCCAACATTTTCACTTTACTTCCCACTTGATGATGAACTTTGAACACGCTATATCTAGAGGTTTTCCCACCGAACATGATATTAACAGTTTCCTAAGCAACTTTCTGAAGACATTTTGAAACAATCACATAATATCCATAAGTAGAACGACCATAAGAGAGAGTGAGGTCGAAGAGGTGAAAATAATCTGTCAGGGGTGTCAATCAGACCCACCGTCTCCGGTGGGACACTTCCTCACTATACCGAGCAACCTAGGATAACTATAGTAGTTATGGAATAACATATCCTTAAACGCCCCGTCAATGGGAGGAACAAAGAAATGTAACCATTCATGTGGTTGTCGTACCTTGAAAAATACAATCCTCGCAATGGACACGGAAAAATGTTCAAACAGAGTCGCCATCGAACTTTATTCATTCTAAGGAAGGAATAGGAAAATATCGATAAAACCTTTAGAGGATAAGAAAATAGTCATCGCAACCAAATTCTAGGTTCGGGAGTCGATTACACAAGAGAGAAGGTATTAGCACCTTCTACGTCCACTGTACTCAACGAAAACCTCTTTATTAGATTCGAGAAAAGAGTTAGTTAGGTTTGTTTGTTTTCTTCTAAGGGAATAATGAGTAAAAGATGTAGTTTCTAAGGAGAAAATGAATGGTTTTTATTAGGGTGTTCGGCAAGGATTGGGACCCTTGTGCCTACATATTCCCTCGTGCAACGGGAAATTCATAGTGTCTTAGTTTGTGAACTACGGGAAAAGGTTTGAGGATAAAAGAAAAAAATATAGTTTGCTAGGATCTCGCAATCCTATGCCTACGTACCCTCACTATGCAATGAGGAAGTTAGAGCAATCGTAGTTCGGACGACCGCGGTTGATTGGTTTATGTATTTTATGAACGAGTATTTAGGTCGTATTTTAACTGCTAAACGTTGGCTTGTATGCTCGCTATGGGAGGCTAAAGCACGAGTTTATATGCGCAGAAGAAGGGACTAAACAATATTTTTTGCGAAAAGTTGTTTGAATAGATTAAAGTGTATTAGAGATTTGATTGAGAAGAAAGAGTTTAATTTGAATAGGTTTTAGGGTTTTGATCGCACGGGAGCGAGAAAATGAGGTTTGATTGGTCAAGTATTTTAAGAGAGGATGACGATTATTCGATAAACGAGACATCAGTCTTACAACTAATTAATCAGGACATTATTGGAATACTAGATCCCAACGAAACCTTTTTCATTTAATTAATTATAAAATCATGTTTGTTGGACAATGAACACCTTTGTCCAAATAATTAGGGCAAGTGTTTTAGAAACGAAAGGTCAAGCAACCCACGACTCAGGTGTGCGCCTTAAGAGCGGTCACTCAAGAATCCAAGGAGTGCGAGATCCAAAGAACTCAGTTCTTTTCTAATTTAATTAAGAAAAATATTTGAATTTGGTTAGGGTATTTTGACTATACGTGTTAGGTATTTTAAATGAATTGCGTATTTTAAAAATGAAAGATCGAAACAATCACAACCCAAAGCGTGCGCCTCGAGAGCGATCGTTTAACGATCCAAAAAGTGCTAGACTCCAAAAATCCACCACTTTCATTATATAATTAGAAAAATATATTAGTTATCTTATATTAAAAAATAATTAATTAATATTTCATTAAATAAAAATCAATTAGGTGTTGAAAGATAAATTGAATTAGGATATTTAAAACTTAATGTTAAAGCAAAAACGAAATTATCTATTTTAAATATGTAACTAACACTAGATTAATCATCAATTATTCTAATAATAATGAACACATAAAAATAGTTAAATAGTAATTTCATAATTTAGAAATAATAAATTAATTAATTATGGAGCAAATACTTGATTAAGAAAAATCATGCTTTCTTCTTGTTCTAACATTAATCAATCCACCACTTTTCTAACATAGCTATAAACCCAAAACGAATCACTATCAGTGATCAACAAAGCCCAAAAGGGCCACAAATCCACGCGGGCCAGGGCCCACATTATGGTGACCCAGAAGACTTAAGGCCTTCTAACCCTAATCACATACCAACAGATAAGGTGATAGCAGCCACAAGATAATGAAAAGCTAAAAGCTGCTACGGTCAACTAATTAATTAGGTAGGGGAACGTGTTGTCATGGAAAAGACCAATGCATTTACTTGCAACTAGTATATTACTAGCTTCACGTTTTCACCTTAAAACAGTCTCTAAACACACAGCTACACTATTGCAACGCAAAACAAAACATACCGGTCAATAAACAAACTAAATTAACATTACCATACATACCCCTCATAAAATTCAAACGTCGAAAGTTAGTAGCATCCACAATATTTCAGAACTATTCAAATAATGAATTTATTAGAAGTAATTCATATTTAGTTGTACTATTAATTAGTCCCTAAGTTTGTTATAGGGTATTTTAGTATTTTATCTTATTCTAGTAACCCTAGTTTTAGCTTATAAATAGGGTTGCAATCATTGTAATGTTTTTAGTGAGTTGTGTAGCCGTCATTCTCTTTAATAGAATATTTCCTCTGTTCATCATTTATTCACCTTTGCACCAACAATTGGTATCTAGAGCTCCGGTTCGGATTCATTGGGAAACACGGGAAACACGAGTGAACGTGAGACCTTGTGTGTTTGATTTTGTTTCTTAGATTCGTGTCGAATCTTGAACAAAATCTGATCAGAATTTTAATTCTGTGGGTTGGGAAACAATGTGTGAGAAATCTGAGTGTACTGTGCAAGGTAGAAGATGAACGGAAACGGCAACATGAACACCAAACTTCCAGTATTTGACGGTAAAAACTAGAATCGTTGGATGATCCAAATGCGTGTACTGTTTGGTGCTCAAGATGTTCTAGATCTTGTCACTGATGGTTATGTTCCGGTAGCAGTAGATGCGACGGATGAACAGAAAAACGTGCAGAAGGAAGTAAGGAAGAAGGATCAGAAAGCATTGTTCTTCATTCATCAATGTGTGGATGTAAATGTGTTTGAGAAGATTGCAGATGCAACGACAACAAAGGCTGCATGGGACACACTGGTGAGATGTTATGGTGGTGACGCATCAATGAAGAAGGTGAAGCTTCAGTCCTTGAGAAAGCAATATGAGAATCTCAACATGAAGAATAATGAGAAAGTCTTTGAATACATCTCCAGAATGATTCTGATCACTAATGAGATGAAGGTGTGTGGAGAAACTCTTTCTGAAGAAGCAATCATGGAAAAAGTATTGAGATCCCTTACCTCTCAATTTGATTACATTGTGGTAGCAATAGAACATTCCAAATATCTGAGCACCATGAGAATTGAAGAGCTGCAGAGCAGTCTAGAAGCGCAAGAGTTGTGTTTGACTGAGAGAACTTCTGAAAAGGAAGTAGAGCAGCAGGCTCTGAAAGTAACTTCTGATAGGAGGTATTAGAAGCATTTAGAAGCCAGGAGAAGATCGGATGGTGGTCATAAGTCAGAAAGCTCAACCTCAGATAGACAAAAGAATGCTCGGAAGGGAAAAGAGAAGTATGACAAGAAGAAAATCCAATGTTACTGTTGTAAGAAGTTTGGTCACTTAGCTAGAGGTTGTTGGTCAAACAAGGAGAGAAAATCAGAAGAAGCAAATATAGTCAGAAGTTTTGATGACGAATCTGTGCTATTGATGGGCTCTGAATCTGATGATATGGATCTGATAGACTGGTGGTATATGGACAATGGTTGTTCAAATCATCTTACTGGAAACAAG